TTTTTAATTTCTATTTCAACACACGTTTCCCGGACGCGGCTTTCGAACGGTACGGCTCTTGGTTTCCACTTCATTGTTCTCCACTCCGTCTCAAGAGCATATAAAACGAATTCTTGTCATTTCTTCCCGATTGCGACCCGAATATTTTTGGGGTTAGTCGCGGTCCGAGTACATGTTAATTAAACATTTTTTTTTCTGTGCATTCCAAGCATTGTTTGCCTTTCCATTTTTTTTTTTTTTTTTTAAGATATTTAAATTATCAGTCGAGATTGAAAACTATTTTGAAATAATAAAAGTCAATATACTATATTGTTATAAACCTATATTTTATGATTGTTGTTATTATTTGATGGGGAACGATAATATTATATAGGTCTGATAGATATGGTAAATATTAATCGGGACGCAACTAGTGCATAGCCTTCTTGTTTTACGTCCATTTCAATTTATGTCGTTCTTATGCCATTTACAACACATTCGAATTCTAAATCTGTCTAACAATGTTTTAAACGTTTCAGAAGTTGACAAAAAAGTTTTTAGTCGTGGCAGATTAAATAGATAAAATTATGACACTCAAGCGTGCCTGTATGGTATATAATTTTGGCGAAATAATGTTGTACTGCTCTAGCGGGTTCCGTTTACGTTCCGTTTTCGCCTCCGTTGCAGAACGGTTTTAATGTACGATAGATTAAATCAAAGGACTTGTACGTCTCCAATGAGTATAATAATATCATAACGGACATTGTTTCGTGGCGAACGAGTGCCAAGCGTACACGTACATTTACATGGAAAAATGTAACATATTCAAACCTGTAGCGTCTTCACGGACAATGCCAATGTCGTTGACGTTCGCGTAGGCACAACACTCGATAAGCCGGTCAGCTATTATTATAATGCACTTCCGAAACAAGGCGAACCTTGTATAGGTGCTGTAACACTTCGAGACACCACGTGAATCATTGCGGCGCGGCGTCGCCGTCCGAGAGTAGTTTTATTTTTTTTTTCATCACGGTTTTTAATAATTTAAATAATATTCCGTTTGATTTTACTGTGTTACTACAGTTATCCGTTTATTACGACGTGGCGATGTACGCGCGTTCGAGCTGGGCGAACGTTCCAAAAACGATTGCAGCTCACCCGCTACGATATCCTACGTAGATAATGATTTTGATTTTGTCACGGTGTCTAGGGTATTGTTATGACATGCGTATTATGATGTAGAAAAATCCGGCATTTTAAGATCACGTAGAAAGCGATTCTTCGAGTTTGTAACAGAGTATACCTATTACTATTATTATTATTACATGACTGCGTAACGGATTTTCGGTATGACGTTTGCTCGATTTAAATGTTCAAATGGTCGACGGACAACAATTCAATTGACAAATTGAAAAACGACAATATGGTCTCTTGAATTACCGTTAATCTTTATAGACGGCAACGTGTAGTTAATACTATTAATTCACAATCAATAGCTAATCTATGCACGATAAAGTAAAGACTCAACGATAAAGTCCGATCGACTCTGTGTAATTCGCGAATGCACTTCTTAATACTTCTATGCAATAAGAATTGATAATTTTCCGTTTAGAAGGAAAATCAATCATCGTTATATTACGAGTTCATGCGTGTAAAATTTTTATTTTCACAATTATTATAATATATGTGTTACACTCTTCGGTGTAAATGTTATAATATAAAATTTACATGTAGGTAATATGTTATACAACAAGAATGTTCCGTACGGAAATCAAACTGATCATGTGAGTCAGCAATCGAGTATTATACAGTTGCTTTTATTGACGAATCATTGGCTACGCAGATTTTAATGAAATTCCGTTTACCTACCAAGGCTATAAAAATACTTGCCAAACCGGGAATGACCTATTGGTAGACAGTATACGTCGAGTGTCTATCATCACGTCAACTTCATACGTCTGAAATATTTAATTTTTACAATTTCTTACATGGTTGCACTGTATTAAATCTAGTAAATATATTAAATATGCGGAAATTATTTATTTTATACATTTTATAACATAAATCATTCCCGTATATTTTTAAGAATTGTAATATTTTCTGGTTTCGCCACATCACCACATATTCGCATTGAACTAAACATGTTAAAAATTTTACCAAACTAGCAGTCCCTATTATTAGGCGCATATTATTATTTTACACATTCAAATTTAATATTAAATTTAATTAATATTATATAATTTTTGTACTTATTTTGTTGTAAAATACATTAATATTTGTTGTTTTTCTTTGGCCCTATTGATTCTTTTAAAATCTTTTGATTATCTCACCGTCAAAATTTTGAAAACACTGAAACCCTAAAGCCCCTTATACGAAACTTATTTTTCTATAAACCCCAAAATAAAATCTTAGTCACATGCCTGCCAAGAAGCTAAGTAATTTATTCATTTTACAAATGTTAGCGTATTTTTTAAAACAAGATCTTGCAATTTAGAAATCAGCGTAAACAATCATATAAACTAATATCGTGTGTACCGTGTATATTTCAATTAAACGAAATTAATTACAGCTAAATATATTAATAGTATTCCAGTATAGCAAGTATAAAAAATCCCGTAATGATAGATATTAGTCTAATAAACACGTAACGGACTCTAACGTACTCCTATATAATAATATTTATAATACAGAACATTAAACTGTACAAAATCTTGACTGCTTAACCTGACAAATTTTGTGATACAATATACGGTAAAAATTATTTATTGAACTTGTTTTTTTTAACAGTATTTATAAATCTAAATTAGTATAGGTTTACTAACGATTGTTGGAAATGTTACTATTTATGAATTAGAGTTTTATTAAAAAAAACACAGTTAGGTGTATACTGAGGCTTGTCCGTGAACGAATTTGCTACAATTCGAAATCTAAAATAGCTCTGAGGCACATGTCTTATTCGTCTGTTTAGAAGTATTAAATACTGTATATACGTATGCGTCTCACTACACACGGGTCATTTTTCTTTTCAACTAGGTGGTACCGTAAAAAAATGTGATGTGTACCGCAAAATACTGAAAACGTTTATACTTTTCGCAATGTTAATCCGATGGATTTCGAAGAATGAACAAATTGTATCATGTTGCTGTCATTTAGAACGGATTTCTGAAGAATACCTTTTATTACGATTAGTCACACGATTTGATTGTGTTTTTTCGATTTTACGGTACACGACTGTGACAATAGTTAAGGGGTTGTTAAGATATTACACGTATACGTAATCGAAATCGCTAGTTATAATAAATATCAGACTTATAATAACGAGCAATAAACTGTAGGAACGAGTCCATACGAGTCGTTGCGATGTTATGAGCTAAGTGTGTGTATATATGCGCGCACGCGTGCGTGTAATGTGTATGTTTAAAAATGAATGATTATTAATTATTAAAAGGCAATTTAACATCTAGTATTAAACAAATGCATTTCAGAGTATCTTCTGAAAATGTAAGTACAAAATTGTACTTACGCATATCATTGAATATGTTGAGAATTTTCTAACAATAAATAGCATGTTTAACGGTTTTTGGAATCGTTTATGTTTAAGAATTTATTATACTAAACATTTTTTATTAACAATACCAAATTTTAATACATTTTTCTGTTTTTATTCAGTGAATTTCCATTAAGTTTACAGTGGCATTTATAGAATCGAATATTATTGTGATTTGTAGTTTAAGACTTCCGAATTATGGCAGTAATATAATTTATTATTCTGCAGGTGGCAATAGTGCAATACTTTCCGCAACGCTATAGTTATTATTAGAAAATACAATAAAAAAGTTGGCTGTGTTTTATGTAATCTAAAATCGTCGTCTCGGATGCTCTCACCTATCGAAATCAATTAATTTTGTCACTTGAATAATACGAGTATAATATAATTATTTTTTAAAAATAATAAACTATCGTGGTTTTGTCTGCATTGATAGCAACCGCTACTTCTGTAGTATACCATGCACAAACAATACTGTATATGTTGATATATTATAATATAATAGCGTGATATATTAAAATATAATACAGATTGTCACTTTCGAATGTTTGAAATGTACGGGCAATCCCGCACACTTTCTAACAATTTGATCACACGTTTCCAGTAGTGTAATTTCAGTGTTTGGTAGACTATATGGAAAATTTACAAACTCATTGATCTCAGAATAATAAACTATAGGTATTGGGAAGAGAAACGTAAAATACGATGACTTTATAAAGTATATTGAAAATAGAGCTAGTCTCTTCCTGGTGCATAAATTAAATTTTAAAAGCTAATTAATATCCACAACTTATCATAATTTCTTTTTTTAAATTACTTTTCAACATAAAAATTATTGTATTTGACATACCTATTATATTTTTCTATATAATTTATGTACACTATATTCTTAATACACTATTATGTATAGTTGGTAACAATTTCATATTTAATTCTTAAAAGGTTATTCGATTACTTTTTCAACTCTTATCTTATGGGTATTATTGTAAAAAAAATATTTAACGATTTTTAATGTATTTATATCAATAGACATGTGATCTTTCGACTTAGACTTAGTACAAGATCGCACCATACCCGGCCAAGTACTTAACTTAATGATAAGGGTAGAATTTTAATTTAATTTTAGTACGGATACAGATAATAAAAATATATCAATCTAAATTATTATCATGGTGTTACTGCCTGTAAAAAAGTATACTGTACATAAACATGTATAAAATTTACTTTACTGTTCTTATTGTTGTATTGTTATTGAATTGTATTTCGTTGTTGTATCAACATATTTATACTTGAAACTATTATGTCCAACTATAAGATTTTTCGTGGATTGGCAATATGGTTAATACTTTCCATAACATCGTATTCTTAATGTAATAATGAAGATATTTGTCATCATAAGTAGTTCTGCACAAACTAGTAGTATTTGCTAAGTACTATGATCAACATTGAATACTATTGGAAAAATTTGTTACAGAATGAAACCTCAGTATGTCTCAGGATCACTTGACCGCTCTTCGGCTGCTGTCGTACTATTGGTTGACCATCATCATGCCATCCAACACTTTGACTTTTAATGTCGCCTACAACAAAGAGCCGTCATCATCGTCATCGTTTCAGTCGTCCGCTTTCTATCAGGGTATGCATGCACATTATATTGAGTAAATTGTCCACACATATACACATTATTTGTTAATAGTCAATGGCATTCGAGAATTATTTTATAAAAACAAGGAAATGAAATTGGTTCTACTATGAATTTTTTTATTGGTTCTTATTAGTAAAATATGATTCACGGTGTTCCACAATAACGAATACTTGAATTTCACTTGTTTTGGTGCATTTTATGCATTTATAATATTATGAAATATTGAGTATTGAGTGACAGAAAACTTCCTTTTAAAACGAATATAATTTTTTTAAATCAAGTCAAAAGATCCGATGTTACAGAATATATAGATAACTTACGAATACATAATTCGTTAATACCATTTAAAAATAAAGTAATTATCTTTCGTTAGATATTCTTATATATTTTTAAAATTTTTTTAAAAAAATCACATTGAATACCTACTCATTATGGAAATTCTAATAATTCTTGACACTTTTTATCATACACGTGTGTTAAACGGATTTGTTATTATAATTCGTTGCGAATGACAAATTAAAATATATTATTATGATAGAGATACCTAGGATTTTTTTTTCTTTATTTTTATAATCAATTGACCAAACCAATTGTATTCACGAATTTCGATCCAAAATTATAAATTTAAACTTTTGATACATAACCAACGTACAAAATATTTTAGTATTAACATTTAGAACAACTCAAATATCGTTCTCGATAATTATTCGGTTAAATTATATATATATATATTAGTATTTTTATTATTCTGTATATATTATAGAGCCATTATAACCGATCGTATATTTACTGTCAGGAGTTATCTTATGTTTTCTTACAAACATTACTAGCTTGAATTATAATGTTGTTATATTATCGACGAAGATATTTTTTTATTATTTAAAAATGTAATTTGAAAATAATTGTATTTTAATGATTTTATTTTAACTACATCATTAGCTTAATATTATGATGATTTTGTAATATTACCTAGTTCTTCTAAAAATAAAACTTATTTAATTATTTAATTTAAACCACAATTATCAGTAAGTTATCAACAAATAAAGTAAATTAGGAACAAATGTAGAAATACTTACTCATATGATATAAATAGTGAGCTGGATTGCTAACTTACGAAATGACGTGAAGTTACTATCCGCCATTGTTGTGAGGATTTTGAGTTGTATCACAGAGATTTTATTCTCAATATAATGAATATTTTGAAGATCCGTAGACCTAAAGGTACATTGTGTGCATACGTTCCAAGGGAGGCTCATTATTATTCAATTAAATTTAAAAAACTACACATACACGAGCAAGGTATAATGTTCCAATTCCCCGAAACATGGTTGAAAATTATGACTTCGATCGTTTCAATAGTACTCCCCACCACAATATTAGCAACCTTTAGATAATTATCTAAATCCGTGCAATCACCGTCATTATGTAGTAAATAACGACGAACGTTATTCAACTGTTCAGATAGGTGAATGACTGATAGTATTTATTTAATAATTACTAGAAAAAAAAAAATTAAATAACACATGTAAACATCGATTTTTTTTCTTGCAGCGAGTAGAAAGTTTGGCGGCTACCGGATAGTACCGCGGGCCTGTAAGGACGCGTTGGTTGATACGTCGTATAAGAACGATGTGGAGACCGGCAGCGGCGTGTGCATGTTCAACTACGAGTGCACTCAATTGGGCGGCACAGTGGTCGGTTCGTGCGTGGACGTGTTCCTGTTCGGCGCTTGTTGCCGGCTACCGGCCGGCGTCAAAGTCCCTACGGTCGAGCACAGCGGCTCCGCGACCGCGGCAGCGGCCACCACGACCACTGGCCGCCAGCCGCCCAGTTGGTCGTACAGCGAGCAGCCGCCGCTGTCGTTCCAGCAGCCGGTGGCCGACACCATACTGTTCCATCGGAACGGGTCGGCCGTGCAGAACACGTACAGCCCGGACGACATGTCCGCCGACCTGTTGGCCAACTCGAGCGCGGCTCTGCACGCCAACCGCCGACCACCGGCGGACATGACGGACGTGGTCACGGAGCAGCAGTACACCACGTCGTCAGCGGACGGCCAACACTACCACCGGCCGCCGTTCGCCGGCTCCAAGATCACGTCCAAAGTCGACTACGGCGACGGCAGCGGCGGCTCGGCCACCACGGTCAAGCAGACATCGCCGTGGTCGTCGTGGCCGTCCTCGTCGCCCGTGTCTAAGTCGACGGACTCTGTGCCGAACATACGCAAGACCACGCCGTCCGGGACCTCGGTACAGGCTACCACGTCCAAACAGGGCTACGGGGGCTACGTGCACGCCGCGCCGGACGACTACTACGACAACATGGTGCTAGTGCCTACGTTGACGGTGCAGAACGACCCGAACGTCAAGACGCCGGTGGAAAATAACTCAATACATCACATACTTTCAATACTGAACCATACGCCCCCGACGGATGCCGACCAGCATGACGTGCTGCATGACCGGTACCAGGACCAAGAACACGACCCGATGGAAACATCCCCGTCGTACCAACACACTAGTGGCGCGACGCCATCGCAGTCGTCGTCACCGGCTTTGTACACGTGGGGCTCGATCGAGAGCGACACCAAGTCGCCGGGCTACGGCGGCTCGTCCACTTTCCCGTCCACCAAGCCGTCCACCGCGCACCATTCATCCCCGTACTATACGCAGCAGACGTCCACCACGTCCGCCGGCTACTACGGGTCTTCGCCGACCTCCACGTCCACGTCCACGCACCATCTACCGGGTCCGCACTTCCACGTACTGTCCACCACAAGCAAGCCAGCTGCTCTCGATTCTGCCGTTCCCACCGTCATCGTACTTAGCTCGGCCAACGATTCCAAGTATCCCAACAACAAGTTCTCTACGTCCTCGTTGTCGTCGTCGTACCGGCCTACGCCGTCGTCGCACGTCAAACCGTCGCAGAGCATAGTCGTATCCGGGAAACCGTCCATCAGCGCCGCGTACACGGCCACTTATCACCATCCCGTGCAGCATCACCATCAGCAGCATCAAGAGCAGCAAAATATAGCTTTCGTGCCGGTCAGCTCGACCACGCTGGCCGACCACTATCACAACACCAACCACCACGGCGTCGTGCATACGTCGGCCAAGCCGTTGCTGTCCACCTATGGCAGCCGGCCACCGTCCACGACCACGGTCTTGCCGACGTTCAGCAGCACGGTGCACCATGACAACAATGTGTTCACCACAGTGATCACGTCGGTGAACCAACAATACCATAACAAATACCAGCCGACGAGCACGTTCACCACGGCCAAGCCGGTGCTGAACGACGCGGGCACAGCAGCGATCCTATCACCGTCCGGTAGCTACAAGCCCACCGCCTCGGCCGTGGACGACGATTACCCGTCGCCGGTCGTCACGCCGGCCACGCAGGTGTTCATCACCGCGTCCGACCTGCACCATCATCACCATCACCTGCAGCATCATACGTCGTCGTCCTCGTACCCATCCACGTCGTCGTCCGCGGTTGCCGCCGATGACGATGCCACCACTTTGCCATTCAATTCCACTGACACGTTCGCGTTCCCGCCTGTGCGCGATCCAAACGTGAACCTGACCGCGGCCACGCAACAGGAGAAACCGTACGTGGTGCCCGGCAGCAGCGGCGGCATCGGTGGTGGCGGTGGCAGTGGCGTAGGTGGCGGTGACGATTACGACACGGACGCCGATCCTAACCCGCAGCTGACGGGCGACGACAACCTGGACGACAAAGTGCACCTTTTCGTCGAAAAGGTCGTGCAATCGTTACAGGGAAATTTTGAGGACTTGGAGAAGGTGCTGCTGTCTGGCGACACGTCGTCGTCTAACGTGTCCATCGGCACGTTCGACGATCCGGTGCCCACCGCCACCGGATGGCCGAACAAGAAGCCGACCACCGCGCCGGCCACCACGACCAAGAAACCGTCCAAGCCGACGGCCGGTAAGCCTACCAAGCCGCCACCGAACAAGGTGACGGTCACTAGCACGTACAAGCCGACGCCGATTACGTTGCCGCTGGACGCCGCGCCGTACCTGGAGCTCACGTCCACGATCCGGCCCACCAAGATACCCACTCTGCTCACACCTGTCCAGCTGTTCCAGCCCACCACGTACGCCACGGACAACAAACGGCCTACCAAGCAGCCGGTAAAAGTGACGCAAGCCACCACGGTCGTGCTGGACACGTTGAACGTGGAACACGACCATACCACCGCCGAGCCGGACTACAGAAAAAGTACGTGAAGCTGAGACTAATATTTAGAGTTCATCAAATTTCAATAATAATCTATTATTATCAACATACTTGTATACATTGTAGTATTTAGTGTTAAGCGACGCCGTCGTCAAGTTCTATCGATTAGAACTTTTTCCAGCAGCGGTTCCGTTTTGGAGACCGGTCTGACGAGTGCTATAAAATCGCCCAAATGCGAACGTGTTCATTTGCCGTACTGTTATGTTGATTATAATGCTGTTTCTAATACCGGCATCGAGCTAAATCTCTTTTAAACAAATTCAATAATGTTCGAACACAATATTATAATGGCATTTTACGGCGAGGCCAGTATACACCGCGGATGTACGTAAAAATAAACCGTTACATCGGGTGCGTATTAATCGGTGAGTTTCGCTTCAATTCTTGGTACACGACTATAGGCGTGTTTATGGGCATGGCTAAATGAGCGAAATCGGTGCCCAATGAACTTTAGGATATTTGTCCTATAAGTCATCGACTGAGCACAAAACGAAGTAATAATAATCAAAAGAATTTTATTATTATTTTCCATTTACCGTGTTATTCGATTATGGTTTTCGTGTAGGTAGGTTTTTCGCGTTTTCTTTTATCTGTTGGGATTCAATCATTGTACGTATATCAATTGTTATTTTTGCAACACATAGTCAGAGTAATCCAAGAGGATGGTTTAATACCGGTATTTAAAAATGTGATCTCATGGTTTATTCAGTGCAGTAGATGTGTGTGTTTGCGAGTGCAAATATAATTAATTTGCTTGCTTATACTATAAAATGTTATCTTGTAAAATTATATCTTTTCGTAAAATAATTGATACATCATTCGTTTTTATGTTATTTTTTTGCTCGTTTATAACGAATAACTAAATATGTATACCGTAAACTGCGTGTACAAATTCTTAAACCCAAATAATCAAATAAAAATAATAAATAATAAGTAATAGCGCAAATAATTTATTATTCGTGACGGATAATATTTTTCTGTGATTTCTGCTATTCCCCGCAGTCTTTCTTTACTGCGAGTAATTATTAGCAGCGTGATGGTCTTCAAATTTTCATTACTATTATTATTATTATTATATAACGGCAGTTATACAAGAGTTATTCCAACGTTTCGTTTTAAAATATCAAGTATTACATCGAATACAGAGTATTGACTCCATCTTGAATAACATAATATAATTCCTGTATAAATGCACCCTCGCATTCGTGATTATATGGATTATCATACATTATTGTTTTTATCGCAATAAAAATAAAAACGTGTAAACATTTCTTTATAAAAAACTAAATCGAAATCGTCGATTCACATATTATAATAATTCACATACCCGTGCATACGGTCATGGTCATACGATATTAACGGTTGACCAAACTGTATCATGCGAAACACGAGAACATGACGTGATCGTATACCTATATGATAATGATCGTCCAATATTCTTGGATCTTCGATTTTATCATAATGTCGTTGTTCGAGTTTTTTTTCCCCCCACAAGTAGGTCGCGTAATTATCGAGTTATATAGTATCGTTTGTCGATAGATCACACACTTTACCGGTACCCTGTTTTGATTTCTATTATGTTAATTATTATTATATTACGACGAAAAAAATTAAATAAAAATTAGATACAGACAGAATATTGCTCCAGACAGTGAGTTTCGGGCGCACTCGTCTCGCTTCGATCACTCCGCGGTGCAATTCTACAATATTATTGAATTATTAAATTTAATTTGAAAGCAATGAAAAAAAATGAAAAAAATTATTTTGAGTGTAATCTACGAATTCGAAAACAGTAGTAGAATTGAAAATCAACGGATTTCTTGGAGTATTTGTAGTGTTCAAATCCAAACGGTTTTCGCGATGATATATATTATTTGAGCACATTTTATACAAACACAGTCTAACCATTATATCGATTAAAATCTAATATTAATGAGTCTATTAGATATATTGATTATTTATCAATTCCGTATGTTTTTCATTGAGAACTTTTTAACTAGTAAAAGTTATTATTTTGCCAAATTTTATTATTCTTCAGTAACAAAATCCTTGGAGCGAAAATTTCTCCTTGTTTTGCTGTAACTTTTTTTTATGAGGTACATTAGTTTGATTATTTATTTGTTTAAATTGATCTTCGAGAAAATAATAGAAAAACAAACAAAAAATATTCGATAAATTTGATAAATAAGTTTTATTATGAATATTAAAAATACTACTGAAAAATACGATATTATTCGTAAATTGATTCTATTGATTAAGAATTGTAAAAAGATGAAGTTAATTAGAACGATCCGTAAAAAATATATCACCATGAATCCGATTATATTATCTGTTGAAAATCACTTTTTACATCGATCTCTAAATACATAGCGATAATCGGAACTTTTAATCGATGACACACGGATTTATAAATAAATAATTCGTATAAAAGCTACTACGGTTTATGGTCGTGAAACATTTCCTAGCAATTCCCCGTATATACTACCTGACACGTGAATGTGTCTCATAAAAAAAAAAAAAAAATTAAAAAAAATTGTATTACGCGTACATAAAAGTAGGTGTTGAATGTTTTATATATGTATAAAATATGTGTTTGTGTATGTGTGTTTGTGTACGGTAAGTGCGAGTAACGGACGTTCGGTGGAATGCTGAAGCAATATTGTCGTCATCGAACCGGACGCGGAATTTCGTGTCCCGAGATTAGATACGTTTATGGTACATATATTGTGTACAATGTAATACACACACACACACACACACACACACACACACACACACACACACACA